TCGGCCTGGACCCTGAAGCTAGGTTGGCTCTTTCCCTGGGGCAGTGGGTAGCAGGCTCACAGCCGCTCTCTGCCAAGAGCTGGAATGTAATGTCTCCAAGTCCAGGTGGGTCCTTGGCATTTCTTTCATTAAAAAAAAAAAAAAATGTTTTTATTGATTTCAGAGACAGGAAGGGAGAGAAAGAAAGAGAAACATCAATGATGTGAGAGTCTCGTTGATGGGCTGCCTCCTGCACGCCCCCTGCTGGGGACGGAGGAGCGTGCATCCCGGGCATGTGCCCTGACCTGGGATGGAACTGAGATCTCCTGGATCCTAGGTGGATGCTCAGCCTCTGAGTCATGTCAGCCAGGCCTTCCTTGGGTTTCTCAGCACCTCTGGGGCTTGGGCTTCTGTGTGCCCTGGGGTCAGCAACTCGAGGCCCTGTTGGTGACCAGAGGGCACTGAGAGTTGGCCTCTGCACCCCCTGTGGCCAGCTGGGCCTTTTCCTTCTGACTCACATCCTGAGTGCTTAGGATTCGGGTGCATTAATGACACGTGGAGCCAGGCTGCTGGCCCTGCCCTGCTGTCCCAAGGGTGCCGTGGATACAGGTCTCTCTGCTCCTGAGCGTGTGGGCTGAGGAGACCTCTGCTCTCCCGTGGTCTCCTTCCTGACCCTGCGCCTCTTCTCACTGCCCTTCCTGACCATGATGCTCTCCTCCAGGCCGGCGTCTGTCTGAGTATCGCCCTGCACTCCTGGTGGCTGCAGGTGATGGAGCAGCATTCACAGTCCACCATGGTAACCAGCCCACCCCTGGGCCCCTTCGTGCCCAGCCTGTGGTTGGGTGGGGCGGGGCTCCTTGCAGCCTTTCTGACGGGTGCTCTGTCTGCCACCTCACCCAGCTGACGGGGATGGCAATTGGAGCCCTCCTGGCCCTGGCCCTCGTTGGTATCACCGTCTTTTTCGTGTACAGGAGGATTAACCGACTCCGTGAGTACATTGCTTCAGATGCTAGCTCTAGGGGGAGGGAATGAGGGCTCGAAGGGGACTGGGAGGTCTGGGTGACTTGCCCGGTGTTGCGAGCTCCTGGGGCAGCCATTAGGGCCCCTGGTGGGTTTTGTTGGAGATGCTGGGTCTGCCCAAGCTTCCTTGGCTTCCTTGGGGAGAGCAGCTGTTTCTGGGTCCCCACGGTGGGTGTGTCACAGCCCCTGACAGGAAGCTGCCTCCCTCCTGCCCCTGTGCCAAGTGACGGAGTGGCCAGGCTCAGGTGGCTGCTCTGCTCCCTGCAGGACAGGTGCCGCCCACCCCTCAGTACAGGTTCCGGAAGAGAGACAAGGTGATGTTCTACGGCCGGAAGATCATGAGGAAGGTAACCTGGCTGTGGGCCTTCACCTTCGCCCCGACTCCCACTGGCCAGGGACAGCTCTGTGCCTGTGGCCGCTGTGGAACTCAGGGAGGCCTGGGTGGGGCCTGGGTCTTGTGCTCTGGCCGGTGTCAGGTGCTGGGGACGGGGGATAGGCTGGGGCTGCTCACGGGCAGTGGTGGCCACTCAGAGCCTGGACACTGCAGGGCCCGGAGTGTGGGGACAGTGTGGGGCTGCCTCACAGCCCAGTGCAGGGCCACAGGAATGACCCCCAGCAGGGTGAAGGAGCTGGTGCATGTTGGGTGGGGGCCGTCCACCTGTGGTTCCGCTGAGGACTGCGCAGTGGCCAGCTGATCCCAGGTTGAGGACAGGAATGTGGTCCATGGTGTGGGGACACCTGGGAGGGAAGTGGGAGTCGTGACCACAGCGCAGCTGACACCCAGGGGTGGACACACCTCCCATGGAGAGCAGAGGCACAGCAACGGGGTGGGGACTGTCAGGGGGCCCACCAGCGTCCAGGGTAGGAACCAGGCACTCTGCCCCCACCACACTGCTGCCCACCTGCCTGGGACAGTCGAATTGGCCTCGACGGTGGGGAAGGGGCGAAGAGCTCTCCAGACCCAGACGATTGTGCAGAGCCCGGGTTGGAAGGGGAAGGGAGGCCGCAGGGCTAGGCAGGCGGGCTTTAGAGGGCTGTGGGGAGAGGTGGTCACACGGCTGCCGGGAGGCGGAGCAGCAGCATCCTTGCAGGTGGAGGGGCCTGGGAGCTCTGGGAGCAGGTGCTGGAGGTATGGGGATGGGCCATGTATGGATCATTGTCAGCAGCACGCAGGCTGGTTCCCCACGTCCTGGGCCGGCTGAGGGCAGGCTGGGTCTGGCCTGTCTGAGGGTGGTGACTCAGCCTCTCCCTTTCCCTCTGCAGGTGACCGCGCTCCCCCATACACTCGTGGGGAGCACAGCCGCCCCCCGGCAGCGAGTGAGGAAGAGAGCCAAGGTGCTGTCTCTGGCTAAGAGGTACAGGGGTCACCCTCAGACCCTGCCCTGGCCCAGCCCCCCAGCGGGCACCGCTGAGCTCCCAGCCACGGGGCTCTGCTCCAGGGCCCGGATCTCTGCTTTGCAGGATCCTGCGTTTCAAGAAGGAATACCCTACCCTGCAGCCGAAGGAACCCCCGCCCTCCCTGCTGGAGGCCGACCTCACGGAGTTCGACGTGAAGAACTCTCAGCTGCCGTTGGAGGTTCTGTACATGCTGAAAAACGTTCGGTAAGGGAGGCCGGGCACAGCGCCACGCTTGCTGGGGACCGCCGCAGCCCGGCGTCCGGGGAGTATGCCCCATGGCCCCGATGGACTGACGGTCAGCAAAGCTGCTCTCCTGCCGCCTCTGCCCCTGCAGTCGGAGGGGCCTCCTCACCAGTTCTTTGCTCATCAGCGTTTTCACCCCCGGGAGGGAACTCCGAGCCAGTGTGGGAAGCGTGTGGCTGGACCGAAAGTCACAAGCCTGGGTCCCCTCCACCTCTCCCTAGAAACCCCCTTCCCCTCTTTCGAGCCCATTTCACTGTCCCAGGGGGGTTACTTCTCCACCTGGCCACGCATCCAGTTCAGGTGCATAGTCACAACTCCAGAGTTGTTTGAGCTGAAGACAGCTTATGGCGATTCCCAAAGTTTAAGCTTCTGTCCTGATGGTGACTCCAGGCCACAGCCCTGGGAGCCAGCTCTCTGGACCCCTGCCAGCCTCTTCCCAAGGCTGTCCAGCCATCCCTTGTTCCTGGAAGGTCCCGCACTCTGGTTCTTGCAGGGTCCTGGGCCACTTTGAGAAGCCATTGTTCCTGGAACTCTGCAAACACATGGTCTTCATGCAGTTGCTCGAAGGGGAGCATGTCTTCCGCCCGGGGGAGCCGGACACCAGCATCTATGTGGTACAGGATGGGCGGCTGGAGGTCTGCATCCAAGACGGGGTAAGAGTGCCTGTGTCGGCCAGGGCGGGGCCCGGGGGACACGGAGCAAGGTAGAGGGTGTGTGTCTGTTGTGTTTTTACTACAGGTCTGCCCTCTTAAATTTTTATCAGTTTTTTTATTGGGAAGTTAGTGCAAAGTTTTAAGTTTCAGTTCTCGGAAGAGAAAGGCACATTTTGACCCCAACACTGGGATGCAGCTCTTCTTCAGATGCTGGCGGGTGTCTCACTCACACATGTGTGTGTTTCCTTGAGTGGGCTCAGTGGCATTTAGTGGTTATCTCAGTGTTTCACCTGATCTGTTCTAGACATTTTGAAATGTCCTCCCACTTCCTCACAACACCGCTCACGGTGGGTATTGATCTGCCTCGGTCAGTTGTATCCTGGCTTTATTTTCAGGTTTCAGGTTATAATTTTAACTCTAAGGAAGGAAGGAAGGTCTTAATTCACATGGAAGGTAAACACTTGCTTCCTGCCTCTGTCAGGTTATACCCTTTAGTCACAGTTGCCAGGGGTGACCTCAAGGCCAGGCGGGCATGGGGTTCATTTGCCCTGTGGTGTGACCCGCGCTTCCCACTGCTTGTTGCTGGTTGTTTTTCTTTTTTAAATATTTTATTTATTTCAGAGAGAAAAGGAGAAGAGAGAGATAGAAACATCAATGATAAGTCATTGGTCTGCTGCCTCCTGCACGCCCCCTACTGGGGATCAACCCTGCAACATGGGCATGTGCCCTGACTGGGAATCAAACCAGTGACCTCCTGGTTCATAGGTCCACACTCAACCATTGAGACGTGCCGGCCGGGCTGCTTGTCACTGTTTAAAGCTGCCACCTTAGCAAACCCCGACTGCATGAGGTCACTCCCCAACCTTATAGAAGTTACCACCTGCCAGCCCTGGGGCTGGGCCCCGACCCGGATGGTTCCTCCACACCTTGCGCCTCCAGAGTTTTTCCTTGTGTAGCTTTGTCTGCCACTGGACTTGGTGGGTAATCAGAAGGGACATGGCCTACGTCCAGGTCCTATGATGGTGGTCCCGTAAGATTGTAAAGGATCTAGAAAACTATTGCCCAGTGACATCATAGCTGTGGTGATGTCAGACGTAGGAGGTTACTTACCGTAACTTTCTTACTGTATAAAGTTGCAAAGTTTACAGCATTAAAAGGTTTATACTGTAAAGATGTTACAGTGAGCCAAGGTTGCTTTATTATTGAAGAAAGAAACGTCTTTTTATGAACTGAGTGTAGCCTAAGTGGGGTGTTTAGGGTGTCCAGTCGTGCTAGGCCATGTCTTCATACCACCCACCCTCAGTCCTACTCCCCACAGCAGCTCCCAGTGCCCTGGACAGCTCACCGGCTGTTTTCTGTTACATAGTATCATTGCTGTATCTTTCCTATGTTTAGGCACAAATACTTACTACTGTGTTACAGTGTCCTCTGGACTCGCTACAGTTAACTTTTTGTCCAGGCTGGTGGCCCAGGAGCACTGGCTGCACCGTGCAGCCCAGGTGTGCAGCGGGCTCCACCACCAAGGTGTGTGTACCTGCCCCTGTGATGCTCACACAGCCACAAAATCACCCAGAGACGAATTTCTCAGAACGTGTCCTCGTCGTTCAGCGTGTGGTTTTCTTTCTCTTTTAACCCAGTGGAAAAATGTATCAAAATGTCATTGTTTATACTGACAGTACGTCAACGTGGTCCTCACAGCCTCTGGTTGGGCAGCAGGCTCCCTGAGGTTTAGTGGAGTCCAGACTCTGTCTTCGGACAGGGACAGGCCCTTTGGTTGGATGTCATGCCACTGGCTGGGTGTCCTCCTCTCATTTGTCCTCATGCTTTCTGTCCTCTGCTTTCGAGGCCATCACCTCCGGTCCTTGCACACCAGCCAGGGCATGGCCTCTGCCGCTCCAGATGGGCAGTGGAGGCTGGTTTGCTCAGTTGGCCAGGGCCAAGCCCCTGCTAGTGGACCACTATGCTCTGCTCCCCATATGCAGGACGGCACTGAGGTGACAGTCAAAGAGGTTCTGGCCGGGGACAGCGTGCACAGTCTGCTCAGCATCCTGGACGTCATCACTGTGAGTGCCCCGCCCCCACCCAGATCCCCCCACAGTCGCCGGGACACCAAGGCCAGCAGTCCACGGGGGGGGGGTGGTGTCTAGGAGGAGTGGGACCCCAGGTTGTGTGTAAGGGAGCAACTCTGAGTGTTTAAGCAAAGTTGGGCACTTGCTCGCAGGTCTGGGCTGTTTCTTAAACAATTGGGTTTGGACTGAGTCGCGCTCACGGTCCAGGATTCAGAAAGCTCAGAGTGTCACAGGGACCCTCTCGGGGGCTTCTGTGCTGATGGTACCTTTGCTGTCCCCGGTCTTTGCTGTTCACTGTCTCAGTGAGTGACCTTGTGTGGACATCGTTTCAAGTGTTTGAGGTCCAGTCTGTAGGACAGTCCCTAGGAGAAACTCACTGGATCCCCAGCGTGCACCCCCTCACAGAGGCTGGACCCCCAGTCACCCTCACCCCACCAGGCAGTGAACCATCTGAAATGTGACTTTTGCCAGTGTAGTCGACAATACAGCGTCTCATGTTACCTTGTGGATTTTACACTTTTTATTATCGGACATTTTAAACATTCACCAGCCAACAGATAGAACAGTCAGCCTGTGTGCCCATCACCAGCTGCAGTCTCAGCTCAGCACCTCGCTCCCCCC